TTGGGACACAGAGAAAAAGAAGTGACTTTCCAAGTTACTAGGATGGCACGATACCAACACTGAAATTGAGAGCACACTGACACTGAATAAGTTACTGACTTATTTTTACTCAGACTCCGTTTTCCTAGCTGGAAAGGTAGGAACAATAAAATCAGCTTCCCAGGACTGCTGCAAAGGAGCAGTGAGCACTGTGCTTCACCCGCTGAAGGCAGAGGCAACCTCCCAGTCCCCTGTCGGAACTGCAAACTCCAGGGAAATTTTCAACGCATGGGTGTTTCTCACAGAAGGTGATGATGAGATAATAGTTACTTATATTCTAGAAATCACACATTGTGTGTATTAATGCTTTATATAGTTCATGCAATGGTTTTACATGTATATTGTTTCACTTAACCTTCATAATGACACTATACAGTAGATATTTCTACTCTCAGTTTCTAGACAAGAAAAAGAAAAGGGTTCAAGAAATTTTAAAATGCGCTCAAAGTCACACAGAGAAGTTAAAGTAGTGAAGCTAGGGTTCAAACCAAGGTCTCCTAACTTCAAGCACAATGCCTTTTTTTCCCCTACATTCAGAATAGTTAAAAAGCAAAAACAAAACCAAAAAGCCTATTTAACCTAAAAGTATACATGCGGTCATAACAGGAAGATTAAATAATGCAATTATGGCTTAGTATCAGGAATAAAACTTCATAAATCACTAAAATCTGGCTTCTGGGGAACACAACTTGATCAACTTCTAGTTTTCCCAAACAAGCCAATGAAATACGGAAAGAGAAATTCACAAGTAGACGAGAAAGTCCATACACAGAAAGAGCTGCTTCACTTGGCTTCAGCCCACACTTCCACTCGGGATGTTTCTATTCCTCATGAAGGAGTCGCTCTAATTGGAGCTCCAGGACCCCAAAGGATCTCGGACTCTGCTGTGATGAAACGGAAATAAAGGGACCACGTGGACACTGACCATCCCATCGTAGAGTGGGCCTTAGTAACACTTTAACACTTCCATGGTTAAAGGCCTTACTCCAAGTTATAAAAATCAATTGAAGATATTACCCCCTGTTCTACTAACGCACCTCAGTCTCAGGAGCTTGGAGCCGTGGCCGCACATGTCTCAATACCTGCTGCTCTCGGAAGACCCAGCAAGAGTTAATAACACTTGCCCTACACTTCCCTTCAAACCCAGACACCCCAACCTCTATTCTACTTGCATGTGCTTCTGAGACATTGCTTAAAAAGAGAAGACAAAGCCTGTGTTTCAAAAAATTGGAGGTAAGGCTTAAAAGGCCAACACTCAAAGGAGAGATCAGATCCTGGCAATGGCCTTGAGATATAAGTGACTAGTAAATGGTCCTATCCTGTGGTTAGAAGGTGGCCTGTGTCAAGGTATTTTAAGAAGTAGGTTTTCACTCTTACCTGTGTGTTCAGGAAAGAGTACACCGAACACCTAAGACGTCTGTGTACTGGAGTTAACAAGACCCAAAGGAAATGGAGAAGAGGATTAAGACAGCAGGGAATAAAAGATGGAGCCCCTTGCTCCAACCCTCCATGTTGGAGCAAGGGGCCATTCTCATGGACATTTCAGTTACAGCCATCACCAGAAAGTGATGGAGCCACAAGCAAAGTGTGTGTGTGTGTGTGTGTGTGCGCACGCGCGCGCGTGCGCATGCGCACACGCACCCACACATGCTGGCAGGATTTCATCGCCTAGAGCAGGGGTGGAGCGGGGCTGAGGAGGACACGAGGAAAGAAAGCAAGGCGCTCACTGAACTCCTTTGCCATTCTTGAGAGAAGGCCCTCATATTTCCTTCTAAGTAGCCCAGTTCAGCCCCCAAAGGTGGGAAAGGGTCCGTGAATAAGCGCATTTAATTTCTAGGCCCTTGGAAACTGAACAGAAGGGCTGAATTTGGTATCCTAAGGGACTCCAGTTTGTACCACAGTGGGGAAGCCTGCAAGGGGAAGCAGCCTTGAAAGAAAAATTGTAAGTAGCTTGTCTTTACACTTTTTGTTTAATTTTTTGAAGAGGTTCACATTGATTAAAAGATTTATGAAAAGTCTGCATAACACCTCTGCACCCCACCCATTACAGTGATGAAAGTGTTAGAATATTAGGGGAAATATTCTAAATATTTAACAGCAGCCTGGGTACCAACTAAACAGAGTAGACAACCTGCGCAGCTGGTAGGTATGGTAAAGCCCTAGATTAGTTTATTTGTCTCCAGAGATTTTCATTAAGTAGTATCCATTTTTTCCCTTCTTCTTTACTCACATGGTAATATAATATACCCAGTTTTCTGACCCTTGTTTTTTTCTACTTAAAACGTATCTTAGAGATGCTTTCCTGTCAATACATAAAGACTTTTCTCATCCTTTTTTTTAAAAAAACAGGTACTTAGTGTTCCACTGTATGGAAGCACCATAATTTGACAATGCCATCATCGATGGTCACTTAGGTTGTCTCCTATCTTTTTCTGTTACAAACAACGTCACAATAAATAACATGGTCCATAAGTCACTTTGCACGAGGGAGCATATCTGAAGGTATGCATCTACAGTAGAATCGCCAAATCAAAAGGCATGTGCATTTGTAACTTTAATAGATATTACTAAATCGAGTTCCATACGGGCTGCAACAATTTACACTTTCACAAGCAATATACACAGCAAGGTTCACCTGATTGCAATGCCAATGCAGTCTTTTTAAATCAAACTTCTGTACTTATGCCAATATTATAGATTACAAATAGAATTTCAATGTACTTTATTTTGCACCTCTATTTTGAGAGTTGCATCCTTTAATATGCTTAAAAAGTTTTTCACTGTTAATATTATTTGCTTTTCTTTCTCTTGGATGCTAGTCTTTTGGACAATGATGTCCAGGACGCCTTACAATTATATTAAGAAGATTGAGCTTTTTTGTATGATATGAGTTACACATCTGGGACTGTAACATATTTGTGGCCCACACGGCATGTGCATCCCCCAGCCATGGTCCTGCCTTCCACGCTCCTTGAAGGATGAGAGAATGATTTCCTTCCCTAGGTCATGCTGTCTCTAGTCTGTGATCTTTTCAATCTCTGTAACCCAGAGCTTGAATAGGCTGACTCAGACAGATGGTTCTCTTCCTACATCCTGAGGGTTGAAGAGATTACCTAGTAACCTGCTTTTAGTCTACAGTTTAGTGGTTCCCTGATGGCCCTTGTCAATCTAATCTGAGCAAGGCACTTATCAAGAATGGATTGTATCATATTTATAACGACAATGTTTTGATGTCCAAGGAGATTTGACCACAGGCATGAGTAATAGACCAAAAATATGTGTCTCATCAGATGCTGGCATGATTTACCAATTCTAAAATAATCCAAACAGGAAAATGATGGTGGGGGTGGGGCATACGCTCCAGGACCTTTACACAACATAGGTTGTTTGTTCACAAACCCAACAAATCATTATTAACACTTACTGTGGGACAGGCTGATCCTATACTATGTTGGGATAAGAAAGTGCAGGACAGAGAGGCACAGTCCCAGCTTTCATGCAACAACCAGCTATTTAGATCATTCTTTTTCCGTCCAGTGTGGGGAATCACAGTTATTGTCTTGTGTGTTTTTTAGTTTTGTAAGTTTATCTATTTACTTTTTACTAGAAAACAGTTTCTTGACATTTAGAATATCTCTAACCTCGGCTGGTCAAAGAACCTCACAGGATAGTTTGAGGACTAGCACGGCTCATTTGGATTCTTTTTGCCTGGGCTCCATTCATGGATGCCACATAAAATTAATGGCGAATGAGATAAGGCCAAGTGTGGGAGAGTGCTAGTATTAGCACCAGTTTAGGTTTCAGCCCTCCCTGCCAAAGCTATAAATACAAATGACCAATTTAACAGCATGAAAAGACCACCTACAAGATCTATACCTGGGACCTAATCAGTTGCTCTGCGCCTTCTTCCAATTACAGGATCCCTGCCATGTTTATGGGGACTTTTAATGTGAACATCACATTTCTGAAGGCCGTATCATTATGGCCAGGTTTGATCTGAGGGTGGGAAAGCATGAGCTCCAACGATGCCTGCACAAGGTTACCCCAAATGGAGCTGTAAACTGGAATCGACAAGAGCCTACTGTGGAAAAGAAAAACCGTGAAAAGAGAAAGTATGTAAGGAAAAAGGCTCAGACTCTGGAGATTGTGGAGAGTGGTGCCATTACAATTCCTTTCAGTTCTGCGCAGGAAAGGAGATTATTAAGAACAAGTAGCACAGTTTTGTCAAATAATGTTATTTAAGGGCATTTGGAGTGGTGAAGAATGATAAAGGACATAAGAATAAACATATCATCTGCACTTATGTGTGGTAACAGGATGTGATTTACAAAAGAAAAATGAAATCATCATGATTGTTCAAAAAGCTGAATTGTGGTTCATGTAAAAATTAGTCTAACCATGAATCAACTGAGTCACAACACGTGTATGTTACTCCTCAGACACAAAGAATGCAATTGCTTCCAACTTTATGACGGATGAGACGCCTAGCAGCAAAGTAGCCACTTCCTGCTAAATACCCAAATATTATGGAAGGATACAAATGCCTTTTCTAAGTTATTATATTATACTGGATACTCAGATACCATAGTCACAATGCTGTACATTATTATAGCCTCGAGAGTTTTATTTTTTTAAACTGAAAGTTGTACCCCACACTTACTTTTGTTTCACATCTTAAGCTGAATTTGAGAAGTTAGAATAGAAAATACCCCCAATGCATTAAACTTCCATGTTCACTAACAGTGATTGACGAAAGTTCTCTCCTCCTTCCAGAATCATGAAGGATGTAAGACAACTCCGTCTACATTGAGTATGGGACTGCCCTAGGAAGATGGACTAACGGAATCATTAAAGCTGCCAGTGGTCAGCCAGGATGTATGGGGCAGGGGGCCTCAGAGAAGGATCGTGGAGTGAAGGATGTTGCAGAGTATCATGTATGTGCAGCTGACACAGCTTCCTACCTTTCTGGAAGAACTCTTGTAGTTTGTCTTTAAAAGGCTGCAGATACTGCCTCGGCGACTCCTTGCACACCACCGCCATCTGTTTCTCACTTGCTGTGGAGAGAAGTTTGGAATTAGACTTCCCAAGAACACGTATTTGCTGAACTCATGCTCTGAGTTATGTTCTTGGGTATTAACTGTGTAAAATCCTTATCAATCACTGTTTATTCAAATCCAAGGGGGAAAAGCACAAACAAAAACAACATGAACAAACAAAAGTAATTAGTTCATTCTACACCTTTGTTCAGGAACAGGGAGATGCACCTTCAACTTTCCTTTTAGAGATGCTGCAAAACCTCTGACTTGGGACAGGTGAAGTGCTCTGCTTTTGACCTCTCAAAAAAAGAGGCAAAAACTATTGACGGATGAGTCCTAGGGAATTGAGGGCCCTGACCCTCTTCAGATAATTCTCCAAAAGTAGAGCTTGAAATCAATTTTGCAGAAATTCATTCCCAGGCATTTAAGTTGCCTCAAACCATCAAAGTGGCTATTCCTCAGGGTGACACCCATTGTCAGCATGAGGACTAAACCCAGGTTAGGGAGAACCACATCACTCTTCGCACTTCCCATTCATTTACCCTTCTCATTGATATTCTGCTGGCATGTGTGAAATCATTTTATTTGTGACTTATACCCCTAGAATTCTTAGAAAGGGAATGGTTGTTACTGTAAATAATAATCTAATAAGTTCTTGGAATCAAGCAACCCACCATCCCTAAAGGTCCTGGGTGAGTGTTATATAATAGTCTGGCTTCAGGGAAAAGTTTTCTTCCATAATGGAGGAAGAAGAACTTTGATCTCTTTCAGGAGAAGAGATAGACACAGAGAGATAAGGGTAGCAAAAGACAAGAACAATTGAATTGGAAAAGGATGGCCTCTGGAGTATCCCCACAGCTTCAGTAAAGCCTCCTGAACTCAATGTGGGCTGTGAACAGTAATGGAGGGGCTGAATTTTACACTGAGTTTGGACCTAGTGCAGAACAAAGATACATCACCAGGTGGGAGAATTATCCCCTCTCTCTCATACCTCTTTAATCCCCTTTCCTTCAAATCGTATGGATAGCTTAATTTTTCTACAGAGATAGGATTGTGGCATAAATCGTTCTCAGATCGAAGGAGATAAGCCTACTCACAAATACTTATACATTCAAAGTACTTATTGAGTATCTGGACTATGCCACTGTGCCAAAAGTTAGGAAAAAATATTTAACCAGACCTATTGGTCATCTCTCCTCTAAAAATGTTCATCAGAGTCAAATAACAGAAAGACAAGGAAATCAACATATTGTAACATGTTGTCATGGGATTCTGGGGTTGGGTGGTGCTCAGGGAAGGAAGGTTCTCCAGAAAAGGTAACACGAGTTGAATTGCAAAGGTCAAGGAGGAGTTGAGCAGATGCCAGTCAAGGAGGATACAAAAAGGAAGGAGTAGTTTCAGAAAGAGGAAATATAATGAGTAAAAATAAAGCATTGTGGGAATGCATGGGTCTTTTAGGATAAGATCAATGGTAACGGTATGATTGGACCTCAGGACGTGGACCTTCTTTCTTTCCAAAGGTCTAAACCTATGTCTAGATTTTAATTCAAAGGTACAAGATTCAAGGAATTAGATTCAAAAGCATTAGAACTACACTGATTATGGAAGAGAGGTCAGGTAAGGCCACAGAAGTAGGAGGCTTATATAATTTTTATTTATTTTATTTGTTAATTTACTCATTCATTCATTCATTCCTCACCCAAGGACAGTGTTTTCATTGCTTTTTTAGAGAGAGAGGAAGGGAGAGAGAATTATTGATTGGTTATCTCCCATACACACCCAGACCAGGGCTCACACATACCCAGACTGGAGATGGAACTTACAACTTAGGTATGTGCCTTGACCAGGAATTGAACCTGCAACCTTTTGGTTACGGGAGATACTCAAACAAACTGAGCCATACTGTCCGTGGCAATGCTTGTATAATTTTAAATAAAGAGGTCATGAAAATCTCACTGTGAAGATATTTGACCAGAGACTTGACCAGAGTAAAGAATGAAGCCATGAGAAAGTTTGAGGGTAAAAATCAAGACTTATTTAGAATATGATAAGCTTGAGATGTCAATGAGACACTCACATTATATATAAAAGTCTGCAGTTTAGGCTGCATGACTGGGATAGAAATACACATCAGGAAGTCTGGGCTTAAAATTGGTATTTAAAGCCATGAAAGCAAATGAACTGGTAAGGAAAGAATGTAGCCAAAGAAGAGAAGTGGTTGCAGACAAACCCTGAGGCATGCAAGCAGTGGAGGTGAGGCCAGAAAAGCATGGGGAATGAGCAAAAAAGCAGAAAAGTGGAAGTACAGAATCACATGATCTGAGAGGAAACCAGTATTGCAAGAAAGAAAGAACAGTCAGCTCTCTGCAATCCTGTTGAAAGGTCAAGTAGAAGACAGAGGAGTGACCACTGATTCCAGCAACATGGAAGTCACTGGGTCTCTCAAAATCAATTTCAGGAAGTGAGGGGTGGAGGGAGGAAACCAAATTGGAGCGGGGTTGGGTAGGTAGAGACAGATTCTATAGCTATTTGTTTAAAAAGCCAAGCCCAAGAAAGAAGAGCAATATAAGGAACATCTTTCTACCCAAGAAGATGTTATCTAGGATTACTCCAGTCAAGAGTGGGTGGGTGTCTTTTTCCCCAGAGGAATGTTGTGTAAAAATAAACCCACCAGGGAGCTTGAGTCTAGGGGAATCCCATGATGCTGATTCACCTCTCAGAGGGAGGCTGCCCAAGATGAAGTTCACCTTAATGTCCTATGATCATGAGGGTTCTCCATGCAAAAATTTAAGCAGAAGTGACAGGGCCAAGTGAGCACATGCCAGCTTGCTTCAGGACTTTTGGAAAGGCATGCAAAGCTGGGCCACCAACTGCAGCCTTTGCAAGGAATCATCTAAAGCACTATCCAAAGATCCCTCCTATCGAACGTCACTGCTGAGTCAGAATTTCCACTGTGATGATTATGCGGTTATTGACACAGCCTTAGTCTGCGAAACATTAGCATGAAAAATAGTCATTAATCACCTACTCATAATTAGGCCTAAATATAGACAGATTGGGCATGATAGGATTTATAGGGTGCTAAGTGATCTATTTATTTAAAAACATCCCTTCTTTGGTTCTTACGAAAATCGCCACCATTAGAAGCCTTCCCTTGAACAGAAGACACTGACTGCAGAAGATCTCTTTAGAAGTGCATGTGTATTAGTTGAAAGAGAAAATATTATGAGAGAAGAATTTATTAACACTTGGGTATAAATTTCTTTCTCAGACTGGTTTGGAAAGGCTAGGTTTCAAGCGATAGACAGGAAAGTTGTGTTACAATGGAAGAAAAAGGAACGTTTGTGAATGTTCTCATCGCTGGGCAGACTGTACAGGACAAAGCCTTAGGCGGGCAGCCCCAAACGTGGGGTATGGGGAAAGGACACTCATCTTCGGGAGGAGCAGAGCGATTAATTCCTAAAAAGTATCATGAAGGTAACACACATAAAGAAACACAAACAACATTTACAAAAACTAGGAGAAGATCCTTCATGACCAGAACGGTTACCATTTCATACTTTGCTGCCTATTCTTAGTGTCTCGGACCCTGCATCACACACATACCCGTTCCTGACTTCCTAGGGGTTGCCTATATACGTTTTTTTTAAACATATACTTTCATTTGACAAAAAAACTTGTGTACCTTCATTCTTTCTATTAAACATATCATGTACTTTCTCACATGATTTCACAAAATTCACAAGCATTGTGTGTCTCATAGCCACATAGAATGTCATCAAGTGGATAGGTCCTAGTTCACTTAAAGGTTTCCCTGCAGTTGAATAGTAATGTCCTTTCTACTTTATTCTCACAGCGAATCATTCTGGCTTTAAGTAACACCGGTGCCCGGTAAAAAACTTATTCTAAGTTTAAGATTACTTCTTTAGGATAGATTTCAGAAGTGGAATTCTGGGGAGAAAAGGAAAAAGATTTTTAGAGTTCTTGATACAGAGCGGATACAAACTGCCTTTGGTATAATGTGGAGGTTTTGAAAATAAAGCCGGGACTCCTCCACTGCCGCAGGGGTGGCTGGCTGCACAGGAGCTGGAGAGTGCCCACCGCTGCATCGCAGGGCCTGCGGTCCTGGTACTGGAAGCGATCACACTCCAGACTGGCGAGCACTGAGACGGCCATCCATGCACGGAGGTGATTTACACAAAGGCGGAGAAAAACGGTGGCATACGAAAGTGGTACAAGACACTCTAGGGTGAACCACAGTGTCAGACTAGGTTTTAGACCGCCTCTGAAAGTGGTTCTCTGGAAAGGTCCCAGGAGCCGTGTTTAATTTGAATGTAAAGTAGGCTCTCCATACCACGGGAGCTATCTGAGTTTTGGGAGGGTCTAGAGGCAGATTTGAAGTTTATGTCAAATGCTCAGAGTTAAAAAAAACATATTTACATATATATAAGTGTAAACACACAATTTTAAGATGCTCAGACCTGTGGATCAACCATATTAAGTATTGATCTGGACATGTGATTACAACTCGAGCCATTTGTGAAGACCATATAGAGCCTACACTTTGGGGCAACCAAGTGAGTATTACTTTAAGAAGTATTTTGAGGAAAAATCAGTGGGTGAAAACTAAGAGGTTGCGGATGGAATCGGCAAAGGCAGAGAGAGTAAAGCCCCATTGGCTAAGGTGCCTCCTTCTCACAGAAATTATATCACAGGTCAAGCAATACATCCCACCCATCACTGAAAGCAGGGAAATGGTTCGCTTATAGGAAGGCTTAAATTTAAAAAGACTTCCTCTGGAGCCAAATGCTTATTGCCATTTGTACTGAAATTAAGTGATGAGTTTTCTCAGCCATGTAAACCTTGAAGCTGATGGGCCTGCCTCTTTATGATCCCAGGAAACCAGTATGTGGAAGAGGTAACAATGCTGATTTTAGCATCATTTCCTTCCAGCAGTGCAACGGCTGGCTACAGAGAGACCAGTGATTAAGATACATAAGCCCATGGCCACAGAGCCA